TTTTTGATTCAGAAGGTAGGTGAGAGATAGATCTATAAAGTCCTTTGGATCATTGATGTCTAGTGATGGCTTTTTATCAGTGGTATGACGTTTGATTTTTTAAATAAGCTTCGAATTGTGTCAGTAGTGAGAGAGCTTTATCAGGCACGTGATCGCTGCCGGGGTAGGTGTTGGAAGGGCCTGTAGTGTGAAGACGGTTTGGCCAGGGGTTGTGTCAGAGGTTTAGTCTGGTTGATGATGTTGTGCACTGCGTCGTGTTGATACTTCGCGTGAATTGATGTGTTCTGTTGCGTTTCGAGGCTGGTAATGTTATTTTCTAAGGTTATGGTGAATGTGATTGCGTTTTCTAAGTATTTTTTTGTTTTGAAAGAATGTTACGAATTAGTGTTGTGCTGAAACCGAGTGTTTATGGTTTTGGTTGGGAATAGTGGAGTAGATTCTATTGAATATTTAAAAGTTGTTATAGTGTGCGACACTATAGCAAGACGCACCCTCCTTGTCTTGAATCTTTGCCTTTACATTCTCGATAGTGTCCGAGGGTTCAACCTGCAGTCAGAACACAAGACACGCAGGAGCGGAGATGTCATCAATGCCGGATGACAATGTTGCAGCCTTTCACCATGCACCCACGCTGTTGGTGGTAAATTCATCTGCTAGTTATGTCTAAGTGTCAACAATGTTATTTATTGGCCCAAAAGGCAAAACACTTTTGAGGAGGATGCATATCCCACGCCGTGGTATTTGATAATTTCTCCCCACACCAAGTCGTGGTACAACGATTAGCAAGCAGCGCAAGAGGGCGAGAAAATCAAGGTCCACCAGTTCGATCCCAAGTGCAGGCGGCCAAATTGGGAACATTTATTATATTTCGCCCTCCCCTGTCCACCAGCAGGTCAGCGAGTGGATAGGCAGGTGGAGCGTGGTGGGGTAAAGTGTGGGTAATCCTGCCTAATCAAACACGTGTCAACGTGGATAAGTGGCCCAAAATATCGCTCCAGAGTACTATAAAAAAAAACAACGCTCTTCCACGAGATATCAAGGAATCTAACGAGTATGTGGACATTTAAAAAATGTGTCTTAAAAACTATGTATACACTTAGTATATGGATTCTGGAAGTGTATAATTATATTTATGCTGCGGTGTCCTTTACAGTGCTTCGAGATCCTTAATGAAAAGACGCTACGTAAATGTGAATTAGTATTCGCCACTAACACCGCATCCATAAGGCAAACGATAACAGTACAACGATTCGGGCCAATGGCCTTCTTCAGGGCCTGCCCTCGTGGAGGCCCGCTCCGCCAGCAAGTGTGGCCGTGAACGAGCGACCACTGCAGAGCAACTCTGCCAGCAGGATGAGGGGACACGCGGTGTCTAATGGCTCACGACAACACGCAGACGACACGTAGATAACACGTAGACGACACGCAGACGACACGCCACTCGTGTCTGTGCGCAATGCGAGGCGGCAATTAACTTGGGGAACCACACGCAGGCAAACATCGCCTAACCACCACCACGGCCACGGCCCATCACGTCTCTCTCTCGCTCCCCCGTCTCTCCGTGGCTGTCCCGGTTCGCATTCGCGGGGAGTTGCGGCGGGCGGGGGATGAACGACTTAAAGCGGCAATGGTTGAGGGCCTCCGCTCACCGCCCCACGTGGCGGTGGCCGTGGTGGTGGTGGCCGTGGTAGGGACACGGAAGGCGGCAATGGGAGACTGCCTCCACTCACCCCCCTCCCCCCACACACACGTGGTGGACACGGGCTCCTGCTCACACACTTCTGCTATCGACACTCCCTCAGTCCTCCTCCTCCTCGCACAATCCACTCGTGGCGAGGTCTCGGCAGCCGCCACGCTCGTCATTTGTGACGCCTCTACGGCTAGGCCGCACGCCACGAGGTCGCAGCCTCGGCTGCCTCCCCCCACACCGCTTTGCGTTCCCGGGACGTGGAGTGTTTGTGTGGGGCAGGCAAAGGGTGGGTGGGGGGTGGGAAGAGTCGCGCGGCACCTCGAGGGTGATGGTTTTGCCCGTGAGCGTCTTCACGAAGATCTGCATGGTGATGGCGCGCGCCTCCAAACCACTCGTGGCGTGTCCGCACGCCCGGGGAGGGACAGCCGAGGGAACTGCGGGGGGAGGGAAACACGACGAGAGCGGTGAGCCGAGGGGGGTGAGGATCGCCGAGAGCGGGTGGCCGTGACGACGAGCGGAGGAGGTTGACGATGCGAGAAGAGGTGCGAGAGAGAGACGAGAGCGATCCTCACCCTAAGATGGCGGCGAGAAGAGAGGCGGTCGCGCGGGGCGGAGCCTCTTATAGTCGGGGTCCTTCGCGGCGCGGGCAGAGGTGGCCGAGACGCGCTGAGCAATAAGTGCCTACTCTGAGGTTTTTTCGGTAAAAGTCACGTAGGTAAAAAATAAGATTATAAAAATGAAAATAATTAAAAGGCACGAAGGGGAAAATAATAAAATAATATTAATAAATGAAAATAAATAATTTAGTTATAAAATAACATAATAATAAATTAAAATAATTAAAAGTCAAGTAGGTATAATTAATAATAATAAAAATAAATGAAAATAACTAAATTAGTTATTTTCATTTTCTTGGTTCTTTCGGTAAAGTCACGAACCACGTACGTGACTTTACCGAAAGAACCAAGAAGATGAATCCCTGCAGTCACGAAAGATTTAAATCGATAGTTATTTTCATTTATTAATATTGTTTTTATTATTTTAATAAATAACCAAATTAGTTATTTTCATTTATTTTTATTATTTTATTTTATTTTTTATATTTTTTTCCTACGTGACTTTACCGAAAGAACCTAAGAGTATGGATCCTTGCAGTCACGAAAGCTTCAAATCTAGAAAGAAGTGCCTGTTGACAATACATTAATTAGTTAAATTAAATAAGTTAATTAGTTTAAAATAAAAAATCAGATTACCAAATAATGTGTTCAAGCTTTAATAGAACCTCTAAAGTGTTTAATTTCATATACCTATCAAGATGCTTTTACTGTCACCTATACGGTGTACACAGACAAAGGTCCCCCGTATAGGCTGTAGCAGGCTGTAGGGGCAAGTGCACTGTGGCACACGAGGGGGTGGGTGGGCCAGCACCACGCCCGGCCGCCTTTGTTTCCCCCGTGGCGATGTTTACTACACACTGCACCAGGAACTCGTTTGAGGCTGAGTCGACCTAGGGGAGGCCCATGACCGGTTCGGATAATCGTCACAGGTGTTGGGGAGGGGCTGAGTGGGGAGGGTGGGGCTGGGTGGGGGGTGGGAGGGGTGGTGCTGGGTGGGGAGGGGCAGGTCACCCCGTGGTGCCCTTATAAAACTCAACGTTTAACCTACTCACGCCAGCTTGTGCCCGCCCTCAGCTCCCTCCGCAGGAATGTGTTACACGTTTCCCACTGAGGGGACATTGCTATAGACGCATGTGTTGTGATCTGTGCTGTTCAATTCCGAATGAGCAATTAGTCGAGGCGTCTTGGGGGTAGAAACTCGAGAAGTGGGAAAGTGAACATCTCATCGGAGCCTCCAGGTTCCTCTTCTTGGTTCTTTCGGTAAAGTCACGTAGAAGGGAAGTAAAAAAAAAATTCTCACGACGTTTCGGCCACAACGCAAGCAGCCGTCCTCAGGTGAAGACCAGGACAGCTGTCTCCCCGACAGACCTGGTCTTCACCTGAGGACGGCTGCTTGCGTTGTGGCCGAAACGTCGTGAGAATTATTTTATTATGTTTTTTTTTTTACTTCCCTTCTACGTGACTTTACCGAAAGAACCAAGAGGATGAATCCCTGCAGTCACGAAAGCTTTAAATCGAAATTTAGCCTCCAGGTTCGTTGAGATACATTCTCAGTTTTCCTGCCAGAACATATCTCACAAAAGCCAGTCGGAGCAAACATCGATATCAAACTGGCATTACTACGATGAACATCTGTTAAAAAAAGAGCTTCATAGCTCATCGGATTTCTCCTGCAGTATGAATAAATATTCAGGTTCAAAAGTTGATTTTTGTTTCACGCGCAGGTGTGAAGAAGTACTCAAGAGCTCAGCAAACAAAAGCAACGAGAAATGCGAGTCCTACCTGGATGTTACACGAAGGTCAACAGAGATCTCCTGCTACGCACACGAACCACGTTGAGGCCTTAGTGCCCATCTCCCGTGCACAGCCCTGCAGAGCCACTGATGGAAATTCCACATTCCCATGGCTTGTGGTCAGTCCATCGGACAACACCTGTTGATAACCCCTACAAGTGGAACTTGTTTTACGTTTAGGTGGTATGTTGAAGATCATAGGGGCCGTCCATAAATGACGTCGCGCACCTGGGGGGGGGGGGGGGGTCAGACATTAGTGACGATGTGTGACGACGAGGGGGGGGGGGGGTAGAAATGTGACGTCACATCAAAATGCGCAACTTTAAATAAATATAGACAACGCGTTCTACTTAATTAAATAGACTTTTTAATACATGTTTTCTCCTACAACATCAGAGTGCAGCGCCACATTAAATACGCACTACGATGACAATAGTTTAAAGCGATTTGAAGCATGTTTTCTATTTTTTTTTGGGGGGGGGGGGCAGAGCTTTGAGACATCATATTTGAGGGGGGGTCTCTCAAAAATCGCCTAAAATCGCGTGACGTCATTTATGGACGGTCCCATACATGCGTAAAAAAAGTTTACAACTCTCCGTCAATCCTAGATTTGAAGCCACTGTTGGATGGTGGCCTCCATATTTAATCAGCGGTTATTTGACCATACTTCACCCCCCCCCCCAGGTCAGTGCGCTTTGAAGAGGGAGGTGGCTAATTCACACACCACCCCGCCACTGGTGTGCCACCGCTCCTTGTACCGCAATAACGCATTGGACGGGCGAGACCAACGGGGACGGGGGAGACCAAACGGGGATGGGCGAGACCAACTCGACGGGGGAGACCAACTAGACGGACGAGACCAACTAAACGGGGGAGACCAACTAAACGGACGAGACCAACTAGACGGGGGAGACCAGACGGGGACGGGCGAGACCAACTGGCACGTGATGTGGGGGGGGGGGTTGGCGATTGATAGAGACGAAGGTCGCAGCTTGTGTGAGGCGCACGCGAGCAGGACGTAGCACAAGGAGAGAGGGATACCCGGTGAGCGGCGGCGAGGAGATGAGAGGAGGGCTCCTGAGGGAGGGCGAGAGAGTCGGGGACATTCCACATTCGTATGGCGGGCGGGTGAGGAGGGGTGAGCGGTGAGCGCGGCTGCGATTTGGGAAGGAGGCTCACTGACACCTCCTCCTGGCCCACGTTCGTCTGCGGTTCGCGACGTGGGGGTCACGGGGGAGCTAGCGGGGGGCACGGGGGAGCTGGCGGGGGGCACGGGGACCCGGGGTGGCTCAGGGGACGCTGCTGTGGCCGCAGCAGAGGCGATGGCGAGCGGAGCTCGGGGAACGCAAAGCCGGAGAGGCCCTGCCTGAGGCACTAGGCGAGACGCAGGCTCTCCGGCCTAGGGCTTGACCTTTGCCGCAGAGAGCGAGTCCGTGTGGCGTGTGTGTGGTGTGTGTGGTGTGCCTGTGTGGTGTGTGTGGTGTACGTGGTCTGTGTGTGTGGCCTGTGTGGTGTGTGTGGGGTGCCTGTGTGGTGTGTGTGGTGTACGTGGTCTGTGTGTGTGGTGTGTGTGGTGTGTGTGGGTGTGTGGTGTGTGTGTGGTGTGCCTGTGTGGTGTACGTGGTCTGTGTGTGTGGCCTGTGTGGTGTGTGTGTGGGGTGCCTGTGTGGTGTGTGTGGTGTACGTGGTCTGTGTGTGTGGTTTGTTTGGTGTGTGTGGTGTGTGTGGTGTGTGTGTGGTGCTGCCTGTGTGGTGTACGTGGTCTGTGTGTGTGTGGCCTGTGTGGTGTGTGTGTGGGGGTGCCTGTGTGGTGTGTGTGGTGTACGTGGTCTGTGTGTGTGGTGTGTGTGTGTGTGTGGTGTGTGTGTGGTGTGCCTGTGTGGTGTGTGTGGTGTACGTGGTCTGTGTGTGTGGTGTGTGTGTGCGTGGGGCGCGTGGTGTGTGTGGTGTGTGGTGTGCTTGGTGTGGTGTGCGTGGTGTACGTGGTGTGTGTGTGTGTGGTGTGTTGTGGTTTGGTGTGTGTGTGGTGTGCGTGGTGTGTGTGGCGTGTGCGTGGTGTGTGTGGTGTGCCTGTAATGGTGTGCCGTCTGTGCGTGTTGCGTGTGTGGCGTGCGTGGTGTGTGTATGTGGTGCGTGTGTGTGTGGTGTGCCTGTGTATCGTGGGGCGCCGTGTAGCAGTGACTATCCGAGTTCGATTCCTGTTCACGGCCAGTGGCGAATTTCGCAACCGGTCCTGGGTCTCCCTTACGCCGACTCAGCCTTAAATGAGTACCTGGGGCGATGTGTAACTATCGCCACAAGGGATACGTGTGCTGTGCCGTCCTTCATAGGTGCTCTTTGCCCAAACACTGGAGTCTGTTACGGCTAATCTGGAGATCGGCTGTTGTGTACGTGTGGTCTGTGCATGTTGTGTGCGTGTTGTGTGCGTACTGTGTATGTATGTTCTCCATGTTATGTGTCTATATATGTTGTGTGTGTGTTTGTTGTCTATGTTCGGCGTGTCGTTTTCATGTGTTGCCTATGTTGTGTGCTGTGTGTCGTCGTGTGCTGTCTATGTTGTGTCTATGATGTGTCTTTCCTTTGCACTCTGTATTATACGTACGTTTGTGTTGTCTGTCATCTTTGTTGTGTGTCTAGATGTTGTCTGTATGTATATCTTCGGGTGTGCAGTGGAGTCCTTTGAAGGAACAGGCTGGGCCTGTCCACGATCCATCCTGGGTTTAACCAGAATGGATTGTGTGAGGAGCTCATAGATCTTTGAAAGATCTGGAAAGAGACCCATCATCAGTGAGCTCCTCATGCAAACGAAGCTTGCGATGGCTGGGTCATGTAGCCTGCGTGCCCAGCCACCTCATGCCCATGCAGCTTCTGTTTGGCCGGATAGAGGGAGCTAAATCGGCACGGATTGGACAAGAGCTGATGCGGTGCAGGAGGATGTGGAGCTGATTGAATTTGACGATGACCGGTACCAGTGGTATCTAAGATCAGCCTCTGCGGAGGAGGCTTGTAAAAAGGCAGTCGGAGGCAGTTGCCCCTCCCAACAACGAACGGCAGAGGAGCGACGCTCACAACAACCAGCGGAGGAGTGCCGGGCAGCTAAAACGCGTCAAGTTGGCACAGTGGGGAGTAGAGACGGTGCATGTCTCAGTCAACTCGTAACACCAAAGTCTGTCTCATGACCTTCTGCCAGCGAGCCTGAGATACTTCACTTGGCCTTATGGTGTACCTAGCCTGGCACAAGCACCGCGATGACGTCACGGTTGGCTACGTACGGTTTGCGACAGAAGTTCAACATACGTACTCAGTGGCGAATGGTGGTTGTGTGTGCAGCGGAAATGCGCGCTCTGCAGCTCGTACGTGAGACCTGGCCGCTGATGTTGGTGCCCCTGGGCTTCGTGATCGGATGGCGCCTCGACCGACACTTTGACTCCACCATGGTGGACTACCGCAACAAGAGCAAGTTGTTCGCGAGGTGGAGCACACGCAGCCGGCACCGGGTCACTCGCCGTGACAGCGCAGCACACAGCTTCTCGATCACACACTGTAATGTACAATACAGGCTCACTCACTGTCACCACTCGGCACTGCGAACTGTGAGGACAGGGTCACCCACCACTCGGCACTGCACCCTGAGGGACGGGGTCACTCACCACTCACCACTCGGCACTGCGCCCTGAGGGACGGGTCACTCACCACTCACCACTCGGCACTGCACCCTGAGGGACGGGGTCACTCACCACTCACCACTCGGCACTGCGCCCTGAGGGACGGGTCACTCACCACTCACCACTGCACACACTGAGGGACCGGGTCACTCACTACTCACCACTCGGCACTGTCTTGTGTATGTGCGTTCCTGCCTTCCAGGGAACTCAAACCCGGGGAGACGGAGACCTGGAAGTGAGGGGGGCTGGCTCCCCGTGACGCCCCCCCCCCCCCTGTCCCCAACCTTCGCCTGGAAGCCCTCACACGAGATGTCAGCCCACCGTGTGAACTTTGAATTGTCCCGTTTGGCCCTCTTACGCGAGTCGGGTCTTAATAAACGGCCTGGCTGATCCTGTCTGTTGCCCCGAGCTGGTACCTGGTAGGAGGGAGGCTGGGTGGGTTGACAGTGCGCAATATGATGATTCACAGTGATTCACAGTGATTCACCTCGCAATATGATGAGTCACAGTGATTCACAGTGATTCACCTTGCAATATGATGATTCACAGTGATTCACAGTGATTCACCTCGCAATATGATGATTCACAGTGATTCACCTCGCAATATCATGATTCACAGTGATTCACCTCGCAATATGATGATTCACAGTGATTCACAGTGCTTCACAGTGCAATATGATGATTCACAGTGATTCACCTCGCAATATGATGATTCACAGTGATTCACAGTGATTCACAGTGCAATATGATGATTCACAGTGATTCACAGTGATTCACCTCGCAATATGATTCACAGTGATTCACCTCGCAATATGATGATTCACAGTGATTCACAGCGCAATATGATGATTCACAGTGATTCACAGTCATTCACAGTGCAATATGATGATTCACAGTGATTCACCTCGCAATATGATGATCACAGTGATTCACAGCGCAATATGATTCACAGTGATTCACAGCGCAATTTGATGATTCACAGTGATTCACAGCGCAATATGATTTAGTGATTCACAGTGCAATATGATGATTCACAGTGCAATATGATGATTCACAGTGATTCACAGTGATTCACAGTGCAATATGATGATTCACAGTGATTCACAACGCAATATGATGATTCACAGTGATTCACAGCGCAATATGATTCACAGTGATTCACAGTGCAATATGATGATTCACAGTGATTCACAGTGATTCACAGTGCAATATGATGATTCACAGTGCAATATGATGATTCACAGTGATTCACAGTGCAATATGATGATTCACAGTGATTCACAGCGCAATATGATTCACAGTGATTCACAGTGCAATATGGTGATTCACAGTGATTCACAGTGCAATATGATGATTCACAGTGCAATATGATGATTCACAGTGATTCACAGTGCGCAATATGATGATTCGCCTGCGCCCCAATAATATTTGTCGGATTTTGTGGTTCCGCGACTCAATTTGTAAATGCTCCTGCACGTTGCTCCACGAGGGGGCGCTGAGAGGTGCGGAGACACCGCCAAGGCCCACGGCCACGCGGAGACGCCGTGCGCACGCGGAGTCGAGCGCGTGCCGAGCCACGGAGGCAGACGTCGCACACGGGTTTTGATTCCTTACCCGTACCCGGCCGCACCAGGGTCGCTAATGGGTGCCGTTCCCTACCCGTACCCTACCCGAAATGAGTGACAAACGGTTACTCACCAGTGACTCAGGGCCTACCCGTACCCGGCCGCACCAGGGTCGCAAACGGCTACCCGTACCCGTACCCGGCTGGGTACGGGTAGCCGGGTATCGGGTAGGGTACGGGTATCGGGTACCCGGTTGCGACCTCTGCACGGAGGCGCCAAGATGGAGACGTGGAAAGAAATCCCGAGCAGCAGAGAAGGGGACAGACTTTTTTGACTTTTAAACAACTTTTATTGCCGCCAGCAGCAACGGCACTGGAGGCGGTTCAGATATGAAACACACAAAGTCACCAGCAGACAAATAAACGCTATAAATCCACGCGCTGTGGCGCTAAATGCGCCGCGCACAACACGAAATAAAAGTCACGTGGTGGTGGTGGTCATCGCGCACGCCACGGTGACGAGCGAGCGCTTCAGAAGGTGAACACGAGGGTGCCGTCCACGCTGGTACAGAGAGGGGCTTGTCCGGCTCCCCAGCGTGCGAAGAAGACGTGCACATCACCGACATGTGTGTGGTACATGGCGTGCTCCAGCCGGAGCCGCGCCTTGAGCAGGCCCCTGAACACTGGAAGCACAGAGCAGCCGTCAGTGTCACCTTCGGAGAAAGGGAGCAGGGATACAGAGGCACGCAGAGATTCGGTCGCAGTCAGGCTCACAGACATGGGGACACGGAGATCCAACTCGAGACACAGAGACGCCTTCAGACACGAAACAATGCACACGGGAGGCCAGCAGAGGGACACGTGTGCCACGCGTTTGCCACATTGTGTGAAATTTCAGGAAGTCCAAAATAGAGGGTTTTTTGGGTTAGATCGCATAAATATAAGTGTGTTGTTAAACCCGCCACCACCCGACAGCCAATTAGGTTTAGTCAATTAAACAAAAACATGCCGATTAGTTACGAGTTCACACCGGTGATGTGCTGGAGAGTAAACCCACTGCCACATATAAACTCGACTACCGTTCTGTTTCACCGGTTATTTCAACAACAACAAAAAACAACCTCATCAGGCGAGTTCTGGAGAAATCCTCTTGTTTCGGTCTTAAGTAGAGCGGATAAATTAGATGTCATCACTTATGAGCCAATTAGGTGCCTAGACCGGTGTGTTGGAGAGTAAACTCACAACATTTACACATCCACGGCATGTGGATTGACTCTCCAACACACCGGTGGGCTGAAGTAGTAACTTATTGACGCGTTGTTTACGTGACAAACCTTACTGGCCGTGTCGGGTGGTGGAGGGTTACGACACATTTATACTCACGTGATCTAACCCCAAAATCTTTATGAAGAATAATATTGGTCGCGAAAGCCTAGGCGTTAAACGGGTGGTTCTTTTGAATTAAATAATGAAGGGAGAATACGAGGACGGAGGTGATGTGTGGGAAGACGATGGGCCTCAGGCTTTTGTGGGCTCACCACCCTATCGACTAAGCTGAGCGATAGTGGTGGTGGTGACTGACACCTTCACTGAAGATGAACACCAGTGCAGGGACGCAGGCAAGGTAACCAGACGTCTTGCGACGCCCTCTTCCACGTGTTGGCTCCATGGGCCTGTTGGATCCCGAGACACTCTATTGGGTGACTTTATTGCCCAAGTGGGTGATGATGAAGGCACTCGGGCCGGGGTATTTGCAAGGCTTATGCAACATCGGCTCAATAATGGCGAGAGGCTGCTAGACTTCTGTTCAACACACGAATGTGATTTCCAACGGTTTCCCTCATTGGTGCATCCGCACAACATGGGTACATGCTGGGGTTCGAGCCAGGGAGATCTGCCAGACTGTCGTGGCAAAACTGAATGTCAACCCATGTTCTTGAAACCATGAATTGCCACATGTTCTCTGACCATCGGCTTGTCGTCTGTAAGATACACCTGCCGTCCTTCCAATGTTGGCGGGTATGAGTCCACCTCGGACCCAATTCAAACCCAAGTCACGTAGGCATAAAATAAAATCAATCACGACCTTTCGGGCGCAACACAAGAGCTTTCCCACCTGATGACGGACGCTTGTGTTGCGCCCAAAACGTCGTGATTTATTTTATTTTCTACCTACGTGACTTTACCGAAAGAACCAAAGAGTATGGATTCCTGCAGTCACGAACGCTTCAAACCCAAAATGGCATGTTGAACATTTGCAAGCATTTATTTATTTCTTTGTCCAGCACTTGCACCCCGATGTCAAGGGGGGAAATCGGTGAGGTCCCACGACTACCGCTCACGCAGCGGCTGTACCTTCACGGGTTACCCAGACGAGGAATTCCGCAGAACACCCTGGGCTGACGGAGGAGCTGTTCCCGCTGGTTGAGAGAGAACGCATCGGGGCCGATTATCATCGCCGCTCGCAATACCCCACGCCTGAAAACGAGGCCGCTGCCTCCGCTCAAAGAGATTCGGAGAGACATTCGGTGCTGCTGCTGCTGATAGCCAGTGCCGGATTGTCCGAGTAGCACAAGTAGCTTCTATGCTGTGGGGCCCGCACTTTCAAGGGCCTCCCGCTAAATGTTTGCAAGCTATCCATTCCGGTTCAGTGATTCTGCACTTGCTCTATTACTATAGTACTATACCGCCTTCAACTTTTACGAACGACTGGGTGTTTAAGGTTAGCGATTTGTCGTATTATCTGGCTGTGTAGCAAATGAAAAAAAAAAAACAATGTAAAAAAAGTAACAAAAATTGTGTTTTTTTAGGGCCCCTTTATAACATAAAGGCCCTGCACTAGCTTCATCTGGCACTGGCAAATCAAGATTGGCTGATACTGCTGCTGCATGTGCGTGTGTCCGTGAGCGTGTAGCCGTGCGTATCGGTGCGCGTGAGAAACCCAACCACAGCCACAGCCACCCCTCCCCTGCTCACCCTGGCGCGTCGCAACCTTCACCGACTCATCCATTCTCTCGCCGTCGTCGTCGTCGTCGCTATTCCTGGGAAATTATTTTTAGAGTCGCGCGGATCCCGTCCTCATTGTTGACGCCGCGCGCCGCCGTTGGCAACGCGCGGTGTTTGCGTCTCGCTGTTTTGTGTTGCCACCGGTGAAAGGTGCGCCCCCCCAACCCAACCCCCCCCCCCATCACCACCATCAGCACCGACCGGATGGCCACGTGTACCCACCCCATAGCTCTCCCCTACCTGCCTACCCGTCACCTCTCAGCACGCAACTCCATTTCCCTCCAATTAGCCCCCCTCCGCCTCGCCCCGTCTCTCCCTCCCTCCCCCTTCGTTCCCACGACCGCCCGCTATCTCGACACACCTCGATCACCCTGACTTCACACGGACTGACTTTGTCGTCTTAATGTCTCATGCACGCCACCCCCATACAAACACAGCACACACACACCACGCACCACACACACACACCACACACGCCACCCGCACACAAACACACCACACACACCACACACACCACCACACACACCACACACACCACACACACACAACCACGCACATTATACCACACACACACCACACACACACCACACACACCACACACACACAACCACGCACATTATACCACACACACACCACACACACCACACACATAACCACGCACATTATACCACACACACCACACACACACTACACACACAACCACGCACATTATACCATACACACACCACACACACACACCACACACACACAACCACGCACATTATACCACACACACCACACACACACAACCACGCACATTATACCACACACACCACACACA